TAGAATAAACAGTTTAAGATAGGCAAAGCTATCTGAAAAAAGAATTAAAATTACCACAAAGTACCCACTTGTGCTTCCTCCTTAGGCTGGTCAGTGAACAAACCCAGGAGGGCAGTACCACTCTCTGAAATGGCCCTGTGGAACAAGCCCTTTGCCAGGGGAGACAGGACCTGTGCAAAAGCAAGAACAAGCATGACAAGCATTGTGTTTGAACCACTGAATAAGAATTCCAAGATCAGGCTTTGCCATTTGAAAGCAGATGTTGTCAGACTGTTGTTCTGCAGCCTCTGACCATAGTTCAGCTGTGCAAAGGGCTTTGGCAGCACCATCAGAGATAAGGATTTCATGCTTGTGTTTTCCCCTCCCACAGCATTTGGCTTCCAAGGCTTCATGGAACCCCACTGCAAACCAGAAGCTAATGGAATATGCCCAAGGCAGTCTGGCTGTGCTGCAAAAGGGAATAAAGAGCTATTGGCCAGGGGGCCAAAGCTCAGGAAACGGGAATTTTTATCCCATGTAACAATGAACCCTGGTTTCACTCTGTGATCTGCCCCAAATTGTGAGAGGCTGGAGAAGAAGAGCATCTTAGCCAATGGGCTCAGTGTTGATGTAAAATTTTAACACAATCACTGGGACACAAAATGTGTGTCCAGTTCAGCTCTCGTGACAATTCACCTCGATTACTGTGCACAAGTGACTGGTCTGTAAGTCCTCTTACAGGGCTTTTCTCACAAGGTTGGACTTTGGGGAGGTTTGTTTGCATTGAAAAAAAGCAAACTCACCAAATTTAATTTAGTGGATGAGAGAGAACATTTGGGGACTAACTACAAGTACTTGTGCTGTTGTTGTACCACAGACAGAGGTGATGTGCCACTTCCTGAAACACCATCCCTTTGCTCCCAGCCTTCTCAGGCAGATACTGAAAATGAAGATGGATGGTGGTTTTTATCCCAGAAGGAATTAAAATTCAATGTTACTGTGAACTTACAAGAGCAGAAACACTGATTCCTCCTGCAGATTCTCCAGTGATAGTGACAGATCCTGGATCTCCTCCAAAATGGATGATGTTTTCCTGAACCCACTGGAGAGCTGCTACCTGATCTAAATATCCCCAGTTCCCTCGGGCATGTTCATCACCAGTGCTGCAGAGAAAGGACACCTTTGTTGCAGTGCTCAGTGCAAGAAAAATGGCAGAGGAAAATACAGCCTGTGGTGTGAGAAATCATCTGCCATTCCCTCCACAGAACTTCTCTCCACAGCTGAAAAATAAACAGCCTTGAGGTGAGAGCAGCAATCCAAGAAGAACAGATCAGAAAGCTGAGTTGGGACTGGTAAATTGTTCCCAATTGTTGCAGATGCAATTAAGAACTGCAGAGTTTCTTTGCATAAACGAGTCTCCTGCACTTCACAAAGGCTTTGCACACATCATTTTGGAAATCACTCAGCAAAAAATGAGATAAAACATCTTACCTAAAATATCCAAGAACACCTAATCTGTACTGAATTGCTACAACCACCACATTTTCAAAGGCTGCTAATGCTGAACCATCATATGGTGAAGCTGCTTCAAGAATTAATCCACCTCCATGTATCCATACAAGGACCTGGAAAGACAAAACCAGAATCAACCCAGCACAGACCTGAGCTCCCAGTGATAAAAACTAAATCTAACCCAAAATATAATGTCTTTTGTTGTTTCACTCCTGATTCTTTCAGATTACATTTCAGAAATGGTAGAAATCTTTTGGATCTGCAAGTCTACAAAATGGCATTGATTTTGTTAAATACTTAAACTTTATCAGTGCCCTGTGACTTTGGAGAGATTATTTAGAGGAAATCAAGCATCAAATAAATTTCCTCGAGGTTTTATAATGGTTTTGCTTACAGGCAACTTCTGCTGTTCTCCTGCAGAAACGGGTGTGTACACATTTAGGTACAAGCAATCTTCTGACACCTGAAGAGGAACCTTCTCCTTTCTATTAGTAATCATGTCTGAAAAATGTTGTCCTTCGACTGGATCCTGCACACACCTGAAAAAATAACAAGCAACAAATACTTTTAAGATGTTTTCCTCCTTTGACCTCTCATTAATGAGATGTGTACAAAGGAGCCACTGCCTGCTGCAATCCACAGGGACATGCAGATAAACCTTGCATGTTTCAAAATATTACAGAAATGTATCTGCAAACACATAGGGCTATAAATGCCTTCAATGGAAGTGTAAATTAATTATTTTACATCTCCAACAGCTTTTTATATTGTAATGGGAGGTATTAGACTTGAGGCACTTGTAGTGGTTTGAACCAGGTTTTCCCCCTGAAACTAAGAAAGTGGTAACCCCCAGGGGATGGTGACCCTTGGGGTTTGACCCAATCAGTGCTCCTGCAAAATATAAACATATCTCTGGACCGGAAAAGAAGAAGTTGCACTTGTTGTTAGGAGAAGAAGCAGCCATGATTTGAGCCACGAGGAAGCAGGGGGCCAGTGAGCCCCCTCTGGGGGGCCTCGGCTCCCCAACCCCAGCTGGGGTCATAGAAACTCGGAAACAGTGTTAGACTGGACTGAGGTCTGTGACTTGAGAAGCTGAAGGAGTTTTCTCCACTGTGAGTGGGCAGACGGAGCAGTAGCAGGGACACCAGCATCCGGAGAGCAGTGGCAAAGAGCCAACAGATAAGAAGGAGCAGCAGAGCTGCCGAGCAGGAAGACACAGAGATCTCTGATGGAGAGAGACAGAGAGAGAGTTTGGGTAAGAACTAAACAACCAAAACTCCCCAAACTCCCTGGAGACTCCTCTGAGAGAGAGGAGGATGATCAGACTCACTTGAAAGAGTCTTGGAGTGCAGTTTGCACTGCAGAGAGGAGCTTGAGAAGCTCAGACTGCCCTGAGAGCTGAGCCAGGACGGCCAAAGGAATGTGTGTGTGTGGGGTGACCTTGGGCCCCCCTTGCTGCAGCTTCAGAGAAGCTGGCAGCCATCTCGAGGCAGAGCATGGGAGCTCTGTAAAGGGGCTTGGATCCCCTGAAGGTACCAGACCGTCGCGAAGGCTTCTGCACTTCGTCGACATGACCGTGGTGGAGCAACCTTTGTCTGGGGTAACCCAGCCCATGGAAAGACCCCTTGTTTGGAGACGAGGGGCCGAGAGAGACTTGGAGACTCCCTCGTGTGTATTGGCAAGGATCTAACAACTGCTGCATTGGAAGAGAGAGACATGGCTGCCCTAGAGAGACCTGCTGCTCAGAGACTGGAAGGGGTCTTTTCTTCTTCTTCCCTCCTGGACTTTTATTTGGAAGGGAGAAGAGATTTGACCCATTGTAAATATTATTGTCATGGTAGAGATGGAGTTAAGATTGTATGTAATGTATTATACTATTTATTTATGTGTACAGTCACTGTAATATAATTCCCTTCCCCCCATATTGAGTCTTGTGTTTCTGTCTGGAAAACCCATCTCACACTGGGTTGAGATGTGGGAGTGGGCTAGGAATCAGGAATTGGATTTTGGGCTCTAAAACCATGACAGCACTAAACAAGGGCAGGAGGACAAATGGATAAAACATTTACAGTGTAGATTAGAATTGCCCGGCATTTCTTCTGTGCCCTATAAACCATGTGACTCAGCATTTTTCCTTAATATGTATTCCAAAGGTTTGTAAACACTGGGAAGTGATGGCCAAATGCTCCCAAAACAGAGGATTATCAGTCAAGTGCTGATCCATATCAGTTCATCCCTGATGCCCATTAAATAGCAGTAAAGAGAGCAGCTAATAAAGATGTCTTTAGAAATGTATTCACTGTAACAGCTGCAGATGTAACGAGATGGCACCAAGGAATTTATCTTTGTGGATTTTGATTGCCCTGGATGTGCAGCAGTGTCATGAAATTGCTTACAATATAAATATAAATATAATATACAATTATATAAATTATACAAATGATTAAAATAATATAAATACAAATAATATCAATAATAGAACATACAATAATATCAGAAATAAATAGAGAATATTTATTTCCATAATATAATATAAATGAATATTATAGTAGTAGAAAGTAATTAGAATAGAAAATATAAATAATATTAATATAATAGAATGTATAATAATAAATCATATAAATTATATCAAAATATATATAAAATAACAGTATATAAATGATTATATAATGTAGAAATAATATATAAATATAAAATTAACTTAAATATTCAGTGGTTTTGTCACTGCCTTACATTGGTGGGTAGGAAGTGGCGTCTCTGACCCCTTTCCATGGCTCAGGGGGCTGGGGCTCAGAAAACCTCAGGGATCCAAGGGGAGGTTTAGCAAAAGGAAGTCCCAAAAAGACATTTACACTCCTCTCAGCTGAGTCTACTTTGAATTGGAACCCTCGGACTCTCCCATATTTGGTCTCCACTTCTGGTTGCTCTGCTTTTTGTCCTGGAGGATGTGAGCACAAAATCACAGTTGGTCCATTTGTAAGTACTTCCCACATTTCTAATTGCTGGATTTGCTACTTAAATAGACACCTGTTGTTTACTTAATAATTTTCATACATAGGGCTTCAACAAACTCTAATCAGTTCTAACAGTACACTAACTTACTATTTTATATTACTAATTTGATTACTAGCATTTACTAATCAAAATTTTAGATTTTCTAATTTATTCTAATACACTTTTATTACACCCTTAGTAAATCAGTCTAGCTGACATTCTTTCAGCCTTCACGTTGATTAGTCTGTGGGTATAGTTTCCCCCAGGTATATCATATGTATTGTCTTACCACTCACATCAGTGACTGCACACGGATCTTAATCTCTTTTGGTCTGGGTTGTTAGATAAAAGCCCAATAGATTGCTCTCACTCAGAAAAGGCAATGAACAGACTAAATATATTCCAGGCCCTAGATAGTACATAGAGCCAAAAGGAAAAGCTTCTAGAAATAGTCTGGCATGTACAAATACTGTGAGCATTTAAATAAGATTCCCTTTAAGAGGGGTGTGAAAGTTCTCAGTCCCAAGTTACAGATGTGGTACCGTGGCCTGCTCTGCCTCAGCAGACAAGATCTTCATTTTGTTCTTTGCAAAGAAGGTAAATAAGATGAATGACTGAAAACAGATCACAACAAGAAATGAAGAACTATTTGCTATTCCAGCTCCATTTCTGTGCAGCAGGGTCTGGTGCCCGGGGTTCCCCAGGGGAGGCAGCTCCAGGGGTGCTCCTGGTATTTTCCTGAACCCACTGAAGAGCTGCTACTTGATCTAAATATCCCCAGTTCCCTCGGGCATGTTCATCACCAGTGCTGCAGAGAAAGGACACCTTTGTTTCAATGCTCAGTGCAAGAAAAAAGGCACAGGAAAACACAGCCTGTGGTGTGAGAAATCATCTGCCATTCCCTCCACAGAACTTCTCTCCACAGCTGAAAACAAACAGCCTTGAGATGAGAGCAGCAGTCCAAGAAGAACAGATCTGAAAGCTGAGTTGGGACTGGTAAATTGTTCCCAGTGGTTGCAGATGCAATTAAGAACTGCAGAGTTCCTTTGCATAAGCGAGTCTCCCGCACTCCTCTCCACCAAGACCCTCTGGATTTACCTGTTGCCAGCAGCGCCGCCACCCCGAGGGCGCCGATCCAGGCGAGCAGCGCCGCGTCCCTCCCCGCTGCCATGGTGCGGGCGGTCCCAGCTCCCCGAGAGCGGCCTTTTATCCCCGGAGCGGGACGAGTTGCGCAAGGCACAGCCCTGATCGGCAGGGGCAGCGCTCGGGCTGGGAGCCAGCGGGGCTGGGGCTGCCGGGGCACAGCCCTGAGCCGCTCCCGGGCACCGCTCAGCACCGGCAGTCCTGGGACAGGGAGCCTCCTGCCCCACGAGTGTCCCGCTGCCTCCCTGCTGCTCCCTTGGAATCTTAGGCACAACATCTCTGCTTCCAAATGCTTTGCAAAGAGCCTTCCTTGCACCAGGAGATGTGTCCTGCTGCTGTGCCACCACTCTGTGACAGCCAAGGGAGGATTTCCTCCCACTACACAGCAGGGACCAGGAAGGGAACCTCACTGCTGCTTTATTACATGTTCACTTGATTTTCACAGAACATTCTGAGTTGGACGGGACCCACAAGGATCTTCAAGTGCAACTCTTCAGTGAATGGCCCCTAGAGGGATTGAATCCACAATCCTGGCATTCTTAGCTCCAGGCTCTGACCAACTGAGCTCATCTCATTCTGGTATTGAGACCTCAATGGAAGAAACACAACACAGCCAAATCCAAACCAATATCCCTGAACAGTGTGCTTTTCCTGAAGTAAAAGTTGAGGGAT